TTGTTCACCTATAAAGAAAAATGAAATGTTGGCATTTGCTGGTAAATGGATCAAACCGGAGACTATCATGCTAAGTGAAATAGACCAATTCCAAAAAACCAAATGTTCTCTCTGATATGTGGATGCTGACTCACAATAGGTTGGGGGGAGGTAGGAGTGGAGGTTCACTGATTGGACAGGGGGAAGGGAGGGGGTATTAGAATGAAGAAAACGGTAAAATGAATCGGACGTAACTTTCCTATGTTCATATGTGAAAACATGACCAGTGTAAATCCACATCATGTACAACCACAAGTATGGGAAATTATACTCCATATATGTATGATATGTCAAAATATATTCTACTGTCATATAACTAAAAAGAGCAAATAAAAATTTAAAAAGTATTGGTGGTCAATTGCCATTATATTTGGCATTGATTGGATTGATTGGTGTCTTTACTGTCACTGACTGGTGTCTTTACTGTCACTCAAGCTCCCCCTCTCCTTATGGGTGACTCACATGTCTACTCATCCTGTATGTACAGTTGTATATGTATATGTTAGCTACTAGTTACATGTAGATATTTAAAGTTTAATTTGATTAAAATTAACTGACTTTTAAGAAGTAGTTTATTCCTCACAATTGTCTCATTTCAACTTCTCATTATCCACATGTGACTTTTGTATAGTGCAGAACATTTTCATTACTACAGAAAATTACATTGGACAACAGTGATATAGATCATTCCATATTATTATCCTTAGTTTTCCTTCTACTATTTGGCAGCACTGTGCCATAGGCTGGTTAATCTTCAGTGTCTCATTTGTTCTAAGGTCTCAACTCTGCTGTTCTATATTTGCCCTGAAGTTTTGGAATATTAGGTAGAATTGTTTACCTCTCTTTTTTCTACCAACATTTGTCAGCCCTTTAAGAATTTGCAACCCTTTGTGTAATCTTTTATAATTGTTATTCTGAAAGTAGTGCCTCAAAGATATAAAGGCAGGACATATGATAACTGCTCTGTTTTGATTCATAAGCAGTTTTTTCTACCAACCCTGGTCTCAGTGATACCACTGGTTATGGGTAATAAGTCCTTCTTCTCCATATGTTGAAGTTTGAACATTAAAGAAGCATGCTGAGGCAAGCATATAAAGCAGGGTTTATTTACAGATTTACCTATCTTTACTGACTGCCCGTCTAATTCTGGCTTCATCAGGACTGAAATTTGTCCTTTGTTAGAATATCCTTTTTCAATTTGAGGTATTCCTGTCTTTGAATAACAACATCTGGGAAAGCACTTAGAATAGCATGCAAACTTTCCAAGTTATTCTTCTTTGGATACTGTGGTGGTTTTGTTGTGGTAAGTCTAATGTTCTTTTCTCTCTATAAATCACTTAATTTTTGGTATCCACAGTGTGGGAAGGGGAGGTGACGTATGTCCTAGAACCAATACCCCATGGATACTGAAGGATGACTGTAAATAATGTTAAAACATATATAATACAAAATATTGATTTATATTAATAACAAATTAAGAAAAAGGCAGATGGACCAAAAGATGAAAAATAGATATGAGACATAAAATGTAACTAGTTACTGGAAGAATAAGATTAAACAAAAATAAAGAAAAATAAGATTAAACAAAGAATTTTATTGTATTTTTCTTTGTGTGTAAAATATCAAAGCAGGTTGTATTTGTACATGAAATACTACATCTTTATGCAATTTTCTCTTTGACGTCTGCTTGCTGGTGCTACTGCAGAAATAGATTATTGTGGGAATGAGTTGCTTGCTTTGTTTTGTCAAAGAAATGAAACAGCCATTAAAATAACACATGCTGCAGTATTTTATGCTTCTATAATTCTGTTATGAGAACAGACTGTTTACATAAGATTCTGTGACAAGAGATGGAATTAGTAGCTAGAGTTAAATAAAAACAAAATGAAAACCCAAGTGTTTTCCATTGTAGGGCATTACAAATGAGTACAACCAAAATATAACCTTTATATTATTTAATTCTTCATTTTATTTGAAACTTTTCTGATTGTCAGCATGAACTTTATAAGTAGAGCACAGAACTAAATGTATGTACCTCTGAAGCCCATCATCGTTGTCTTAATTTTGGAGGCTTTTGGTAGGTCAGAGGACTATTATTCTTACTTCTTCACGTTCAAAATATTCACATTCTTGCCATTTTCCACTGCTTATCTCTAGAAACTTAGCAAAGAAACCCAGGGCAAGATTGTGTGTGTGTGTGTGTGTGTGTGTGTGTGTGTGTGTAGTATTTAGGGTTTTCTACATATGGGGTCATATCATCGGAAAAGAGAGACAATTTTCCTTTTTCCTTTCTGACTTAGATTCCTTCCATTTCTTTTTCTTGCTAAGAAATAATTGCACTGCTGTGTAAGTACTGCATGCTAACCAATTGCACCACTGGAATGCTAAATGTTTTCTTTGATATAAGGAGGCTGATTCATAATGGGAGCAGGAGCATGGGAGGAATAGAGAACTCTAAATAGGACAGAGGGGTTGAAGGGGAAGTGAGGGGGTAATTAATGATGGTGAAATATTGACGATCATTACTATCCAAAGTACATGTATGAAGACATGAATTGGTGTGAATATGCTATGTATACAACTAGAGATATGAAAAATTTTGCTCTATATTAATAATAATTATAATGCATTCTATCATATATAAATTAAAAAATGTACATAAAAAAAGAAACAATTGTTCTGGCTTGAACTTGTAGTACTCTGTTTAGAAGAAGTAGCAAATGGTAAAAACTCTAAAGACTCTGGAAAAAAAACTCTTAGGCCCATTAAATAAATTCAATAAAATTGCAGGATGCAAAGCCTATTAAAATTAGTTGTGTTTTTATTCACTATCAAGGAACAATCGAAAATGAAATTAAGAAACAATACCAGCCAGGGTCCGTGACACATGCCTATAATTCCACAGTTCAGGAGGCTGAGGCAGGAGGGTCGCAAGTTCAAAGCCAGCCTCAGCAAAGGCAAGGCCCTAAGCAAGTCAGTGAGACACTGTCTCTAAATAAAATACAAAATAGGGCTGGGGATGTGGCTCAGTGGTTGAGTGCCCCTGAGATCAATCCCCAGTACTGATAAATAAAGAAATAAATAAAAATTAAAAAATAAACAATACCATTTGTAGTAGTATAAAAAAGAACCTAATCCTTAGGAATTTGACTTAACCAAGGAAATGAAAAATAACCACAAAATATTGATGAAAGAAATTAGAGTAAATGCAAATATTGAAAGATATCCTGTGTCCACAGAAGACCTGAGCCTCATGTTAACTATACATATGTGACTTTCTAATAAAAAGGAAAACTCTTTTCCAAAGTTACTATAAATTTTTTTATTCCTGTCAGCAATGAATGGATGTACTAGGTGTTCACATCTTTACCAGCACTTAGTATTGTTACTTTTGTTTAATCAGTTTGATAGATGGGAGATGGTATTTCTTGTGATTTCAATTTGCATTTATTTCCCTAATGTCTAATGATGTTACATCTTTTAAAAATGTTCTTTATTAATGTATTATAGTCATACATAATATAAATTTTGATACAATCATTTTGATATTATTATATCATAATATCATTTTTAATTTTGATATAATCATACATGCATGGAATATAATTTGTTCCATTTCAGTCCTGAGTAATTCCTCTTTACCCTACCACCTGCCTTTTGCTATTCTGGTCTTCCTTGTATTTAATATTTTTTCAATCAGTGCTTCATAGTTACAAATAAAGTGAAATTCACTATGATATATTCATATATGTACATAGCATCATTTGGTCAATTTCATTTTACATTTCCTTCCCTTTTCCTGTCCCTTTGCCCTTCCCCTTGGTCCTCTTCCTCTACTGATTTCCTTTCTATTTTTCATGGAACCCCCTTCTATTCCCCCCCATTTATTTCTCTCTAGCTTCTGCATATCAGAGAAAACATTTGACACTTTATTTTCTATCTTTTTTGGAACTGGGGATTGAACTCAGGGACACTCAAGCACTGAGCCACATCCCCAGCCCTATTTTGTATTTTGTTTAGACACAGGGTCTCACTGAGTTGCTTACCACCTCGCTTTTGCTGAGGCTGGCTTTGAACTCATGATCCTCTTGCTTCAGCCTTCTGAGCTGCTGGAATTACAGGCATGTGCCACTGTGCCTGGCAGACTCTTTATTTCTGAGTCTGGCTTATTTCACTTAGCATGGTATTCTCAGTTCTATCTGTTTGCCAGTAAATGTCATAGTTTCATGTGCTAATGTGTCATTATGTGCATATCTTCTTTTCTAAATTGTCTTCAAATCTTTCACCTGTGTTTTCATTAGCTAGAACATTTTTTTTGGTTGACCTTTGAATCTTTTTATAGTATTTTGGATACAGTTTTTTTTTTTTGTGTGTGTGTGTGTGTGTGTGTGAGAGAGAGAGAGAGAGAGAGAGAGAGAGAACTGTGTATTTTGGCTTTTAATTTTATTTCCTTAATAAATGTCTTTAGGGGCTGGGGATGTGGCTCAAGCGGTAGCGCGCTCGCCTGGCATGCCTGCGGCCCGGGTTCGATCCTCAGCACCACATACCGACAAAGATGTTGTGTCCGCCGAGAACTAAAAAATAAAGATTAAAAATTTTAAAAATAAATAAATAAATAAATAAATAAATGTCTTTAACAGTACATATGTTTTAAATTATAAAATTAATCATGTTTTCTTACATTTCTCCCTATAGTTTTATAACTATAGGTTGTATATTTGGATTTTTAGTTCACTTAAAATAAATAGGAATTGTTTAAATATTTATGTATTTTTTATTTTTTAGAACAATTTTAACCTCACAAAAAGTAATCTTATTGTTTTCAGTAAATGTGGCTTCACTATCACAAGATAATTTTAATTTGAAAACTGTTCTTATGAACTGTTGCCAAATCAATGATATCACATATTCCTCAAAAAAAAAGTCACAGTATAATGTTTTGTTTTTTTTTTTTATCTCAGGTGGCAACATATGACTTCAGCATTCAAATTTATATTAATTCCTTTAAGGCTTCAGAACTTTACACTGAATATTTGTCAACGAAAAATTCTGATTTGTCAAAGACCACACCACTTATCAAACCATGTTCTGTTCAAGCAACTGGTATGTAATAAGAAATAGGCAACTGATGTGGGTAAAACAAAGATTTTTACTTAAGCATCTAAAAGTTTAAAAAATCAGAATGATATTCATTTTTCAAAAATAGACTTATGAGAAGGTAAGATTATGATATGATTTCCTTGCATGTCATTTAAGTTTTGAGTACACAGAATTAAATGTTAACTAAAACCACAGATATATTTGTAGGTAAGTGACTAATTGCTAAAATAAATTAGAAGAGAATAAAAGTAGATTTAGTAATTTATTGTGTGGGAAGATTTAAATTTATTAAGGCAAATTATAAGTTATTGAAATAAAAGGAATTGAAAATAAAATGAAAAAAACTGACAATTTCATTTTAGAAAATGTTTTTTATTCCAAAAGATTGGGTTTACTAGAAAAGTTGGTACATTTAAAGACAATTATTAAGTACAATCAAATTTTGAGTTAGATTTTTGAATATTTACTTACTATTTACAAATATTCTTGAATAAAACTGAAGTGTACTTCAAACACTTTCAGCAAGCTTTGGCTTTGCTTTTTATCATATGAGCTTGAATGTTTTTTCCCCTGGAAAGTAAAGAAGCCTATACTTGTTTTTATAGTTCTGATACTGAGTTAAATTGTCATTAATTATGGTGAATGAGTATCATATCAGTTAATAATTATGCATGGCATTTCATTAGACAGGCCTCACTAAAATAGCATGTGCATGATAGAAATTTATTTCACTCTCATTTAAAATCCCTAATTAGGAAGTACAGAGCTGGTATGGAAGCCCTAAGAAATTAACATTTTTTAAAAATCATGTTTTAAAGTATCTTTTTTAAAAAAGAAAATCAACATTGTCTGGTTTTTGCTGTCTAAATTAGGTAGATTATCACTCATCATGAGTTCCTCATTCATTATATTAGCAGGATACGCCCTATTCCCAGCAGGATACACCTTAAACCTGGACCGCCCTAAACCTTGATCCGCCCTAAACCCGGATCCGCCCTGGTCCTTGACCAAGGTCACCTTACATGCAATGTCACTGCAAATGACCTGGGTCATGCCATGCATCATTCCTACTTGGCAATGGTTCTCAGCAGAGTAGTTCCTTTTATTTCTGTCGACCTTTACCTGTTCTTTCATGCTTATTAGTGACTCTCAAAAGGCTAGCTTTGGCACCAAATACTGTATCTAGCAGTCAGGATACCAATGAACATTTTTAATGTGAGGGAGTAAGGTGGTCTGAAGTGTTAGTTGGTGAGTCACCTGATGGTTCAGTTTCTCCAGAACATGATTCTCTAATAATCTATTCTAGGGAGAATATAACTTCTTTGTTTAAATGAAATAAGACTTTCTAACTGGTGAAGTAACATGCCAAAACAATGCCCACTTTTTAAAGATATAAACACCCTATTATTTTCTGTGTATCCTCTATTGCCAGTTTGTATTTACAAAGGCCATATTATATGTACTACTTTTTGTATATCTGTCATAATGTTATCTTTTCCATAATTTCTCATGACAGATATTGTGTATGATACAATGGTGACCACAATCTACAAATTTCTGTTATCCCACAGATCCTGAGCTCCCTGCAAAATATCCATTAATTTTAGTGATATAATAAAGCATGTGTGAAATACATACATGTTCAGGATCATAAATTAATGCATTTCATACACTTGTTTTCCTAATTTCTTATGAGATCTTTTAGTTTCTATTAAAAATTCAAATGTCTCAGCTGTATTTTTCAAAAAGTATAGGTTTTTCTAGCAGGCAACAATAACTTCTAAGACATTTAAGTATTTTTATAGCTACCCATTCCTAATTTTCTATAGAATAAGCCATTTACTCTTAGAACTTTCTTGTTTTATCTAGGAAATATTATATGATATACCATCTATATATTCTCCTGAATTCCAGTAATTTTTTCTTCATTTCTCCTCATTTTGGCATTGATCAAACTTTACTATGGGTATCATTTTAACTGTATACATTTTTCTTAGCTCAATATTAAGTATATTGCATACTTTCTATCATCTCATTGGTAACATTTAATGGTAATTGATTATTAAATTCATAAAATTGAATGTTGTAAGTATGAAAAGCAGGATATTTTTGAAATATTTTTAAACATAATTTTATTTCCTAGCTAGAAATGTAATCATAGAAGCAAGCCTTATTTTCTCTGTGTTTCATGTAGATAAATATACTAAGTGCCTATGAGCTTATATCTATTAATACCTTATCAGAATATTTACTTTTCTTTCAAAGTATTACAAGCACCATTGAATTTATCCAGTACTGAGTTTGTATTTCACATTCCTTTACATGAGATGGAGGCTAATAAAAAGGTCAACAAAACTCAGGTATGTATAGAGAATTTATACAGTTTATAATTGTTTTATAATTATGGTTTTTTTAATCATGATTTTTAGTTTACTAAATGGATTTTGAATGATTTGAAATATTCCCTATGAGCAATATTTTCCCTAATATTTATGCTATTTGGAGCAAGAATACTGGCACTTTTTTAAAGTGTGTATATGTGTGTAGTGTGTGCATGTATAATTTCTCAAAGTAATTTTCAAAGCATATAGTCACATATAAAGCTATGTATCTTATAAATACCTTATAAATAGATGCATATACTTAATAAGAATATTCAAAATATTTGAATAAAATTAAATTATTTTCTTAATAAAATGGAAGCTATGATTTAAATTAATGTGAACTATATTCCATACATATAAGAAAATTTGTCAAGTAGCAATAATAAAAGCTAAAAATTGAGGTATAAAATAATTTTTACATTGATCGACTCTTTTTGCTTACTGAATCTCTCTGCCTTTCTTCTAAAATAGGAGTCTATAAGAAAGGAGAGCATGTACATACATGTCATAGGCATTTGTATTTGAATTACCCTTTTTTCCTAGTACATTATTATTCCTATTACCATTTATGAACTTCTGTAGTGCTGAAGAGGTATACGGAGAAAATATTTAATGTTATATCTGTAAAATAGCAGAATGCTATATGAAATTATAGTTAGAGATCAGTATCTTTGGCATTTAAAAATGTTGGTTTTTTTAGGGCCTAAAAAGTGAATAAGAGGGCTGGGGTTGTAGCTTAGTGGTAGTGGGCTCACCTAGCATGTGTGAGGCACTCAGTTCAAGCCTCAGCACCATACAAAAATAAATAAATAAAATAAGATCATTGTGTCCATCTATAACTGAAGAAAAATGTTTACAAAAAAGTCAATAAGACATTTTCTAATAGAATTTTGAGCATACAAAACACCTCTTGTATGTAGCACTAGAAAGGGAACTTTAGTGAAGTGAAATGAATTTAATTTCAGATGTTAAAAATCCCTTCTTACATGTGAGATTATTTCATATCATTAAAATTTTGTTCTGTAAGAAAAAAAAGATCTAGATCCCAACATCCTTCTCTTTAAGAGGCAAAAGAGTCACACTGGCCCCAGGGGGAAGAAAATGTGACTTTAATATACTACTTGTATTCCCTATGAATGATATTTGCACAGACCACATAATATATACAGAGAAAACTTAATATGTTTATGGAACAGAATTAAAATATTATCATTTATAATTTGTCATATGTGAAATGACATGCATCAATACATTATGTGAAAGTTAAGTGGACAAAAAAGTTGGGAAATCCTGGAAGGAGTAATAAAGCTCATTTTACCCAGTGAGTAACTAAAGGATAGTATCAAAGGTTGACAGGAAAAGAACTAGAGATATAAATGTATTGCTTAAAACTATTAGTTGACTAATAGAAGAGTTGAAATAATATAAATATCAAAAAAATAGGAAGTGAGGAGAAGACTGGATGTAGTGTAAATGGACTAAATACTTGTCTTTCTTGGGGCAGTCAAGAGACAATAATCTGAAGCTGATAAATCATGAAATAGCCACATGGAAGACAGAATAATGGCTCTCAAACATAATTAAATCCTAATATCCAGAATTCACAAATACATTAGCTTACACAGCAAAAGATGCTTTGTTGATGTATTTTAAGGATGTTGAGAAGTGGAAATTGTCTTGGATTATCTTGGTGATTCCATTCTAATCATTTGAATGGTTAAAAGTACTGAACCTTTTCTGACTATATCAGAGGGGAATGTGACAACAGAGGAAGGGTCAGAAAGATTTGCTGTATTGCTGGCTTTGAAGATAGAAGGAGGCCACCAGCCAAGGAATGCAGCTGGCCTCTAGAAACTGAAAAAGGTAATAAAAGGGACTCTTCCCCAGAGCTTTCAGAAAGGAAAACAGTTCCTGCCAACACCTTGGTATAAGGAATAATAATAAAGAGAGACACAGAGACAAGGTGCAGAGGCAGGGAAGGTGACAGAGTGGCTCTTTGTCCAAGGGGCCACATTTTTTTATGCCAATAGGTTACATTAGGCTATTAGTATCATAACCACATTATTATTTAGAGTATCAGTAAGGTTGCTTATTCTGAAGTTAGAGTTCACAGTTACAAATGCAATGTTAGGATCTTTGTGCAGTTCTCAATAAAGTCCATTGTCTGAAGTTACTGTTAGGTGGGCACTCCAGGAGCTTGGTGAAACATTGTAGTTATCAAGGAAGCAAGTTCCTTTATTCCCAGGAGTTATGTGCCTAAGATTCAGGTCTAGCATGGGGGGCATTACCATAGCCACCTGGCATCCTATGCCTTTGCACAGAAACTTTCCCAGGCACCAAGCATGCCACAGCCATGAAGTCATCAGGGACTCCAATCCCAAACATAAAACCCCTATACCTTGGATCTTACTTAAGTGATATTGTGTTGAATTTCTACCCTACAGGGATGTAATATAATAAATTTTCTGTTCTTTAAGTCACTATGTTGAGGGCAGCATGTTATAGCAGCAATAGAAACCCAACAGAAACTATATCAACATTACATTTAGAATAAGGCTATTCTAGATAAAATCTCAAACCAGCATTGGCTAAAATCAGTTGCAGAACTGTTGATGGGAAGGTGCTGAGGTGAACAACAACTTTTAATAAGCATTTTTGAACTCTTTTTAAGGTACATTTATGTATCATTTTGATAAAAGTATGAAGAAAAACTAACACAATACTAAATATACAATGTAATAAGTGTTTCTCTATGGATAACTATTAGTTCCATTCTCACAATTATAGAAAATAGAAGTAGATACTTTTATTGTTATTGTTATTTGCCATGCTATAGATAGAAATCATTAAGAGATATAACTTTTCCTCATTTTAGAATGCTATAATAAGGCATTCAAATGGCTGGTATGATTTTTGTGCCCACCTATTGTTACGGTCTGTAAACAAGTCAAGATGGTGCCTGGCATTTTGCCAAAGGGAGTGGTTTGTGAAGGAACATCAGTGAGCCATTAAGTGTGGAGATTCCTTATTGGTTGACTGCTGTATCTAGTTTATGTTAATTAAGATAAGCTGTGTGGAATGTATATATACCCCTCCTGTCCTACAATAAAGGGCTCCCACTCCTGCTGTATCAATGTACACAAGTTGCTCGTCACCCCCCAGTTAGTTTGCTGCAGCCGGACTGCGGCAACCTATATTAAAAGTTTCTTGAAAATATGTAAATTTGCTTTGTTATGGTTAAGATATACAAATATTAGAACTAATTAGATGTTTAAATGCTTGAGGCATTGGTATTAAAATGTGTTAATTTTATCTTATATATTTTGAATCAATCATTCTTTAGAAAGAAGAATGATATTTTGTTGTAGTAACAGTTGTATGGATTATTTTGTACTTTTCAAATTTTTAAAAACTAAAATTAATTTTAAAAACTGGTTGATAGTTTTAGTTTGATGGTATGTTGCATTGAAAAGATAAGTGTACATGAAAGTCATGCCCATAACTCCCATACTTACTAAAATGTTACAAAGACAGTACAGAATTTGTATATACCCTTCACTCTTTTTCCCTAAAGCATTTCCCATACTAAGAAATTAATGTTAGTATGATGTTATTAACTAAAGAATAGTCTGTCTGGAATTGATTACTTTTACTTTTTCAAGAGTTTAAACCAGGATACCACATTCCATTTAGTGTCCTCTGATATGCAACAGGCTCTCAATCTTGATAAATTTTTATAACCTTGAGAATTTTTAAATTTATCTAACAGTTTTTTCAGAAGGTCCTTCATGTGTGTCTGCTGTTTTCACTGGACTATACTGAGTTCATTATTTTCCATTGGTTTGGGGGAATGTCACAAAGGTGAAATGTACTTTTTATAATTCATATGAAAGAAGTTCATGATACCAAAAGGACTCATCACTAGTGATATCTTCTGGGTTTCTCCACTGTAAAGTTAGTATTTTTCCCTTTTCATACTCTGTACTATGGAAATGATGGAAGTGAGTGATCAGTTTTAGTCCACAAAGAATAGAGGGTTTTGAAAAGGAGCATTATCATACACTATTTGTTTTTTGAAAAAAAAATATTTTTTAGTTGTAGGACAAAATACCTTTATTTATTTATTTTTAATATGGTTCTGAGAATTGAATCCAGGGCCTCGCATGTGCTAGGCAAGTGCTCTACCACTGAGCAACAACCCCAGCCCCAGCATATACTATTTGTAGTTTTTCTGTAAGAAAGAATATTCTCTCTCCCTTTTATTTAATTAATTACTAAGCATATCAGTATGAGTTCACCTATAGCATTTACTTTATACTTTTAGTTATACTCCAATATGATGTCATTTATTTTGTTGCTAAAAACTTTTCCAGCTTTGGCCATTAGGTATTTTTTTAGGTCAGCCCTTTGACATGCTCCCATCATCGTAATTTTTAAGCATTTTCTTAATTACTGTCACTACCAGATGTTCCAGGCTCATCTTTTACTTCAGTTCTACAAACAACATTTTCTCCAAGACACCCCAGAACCTTTCGTGGTAGAATTATATTTAGAAACCAACATCTGGTTATTAAATGTGCTGGTTGCTTCTCATCTGTGACAGATAATAGGCTTTTTAAGCAAATAAAGCCAGGAAAAATTTGTATGTGTACTATCTCATTTTCAAGCACACGTGCATGTGCATACACACACACTCAATACAATGACAGATAAATTTAATTATAAAATATGTAGTTATTTGGCTCTGACACTTTTCACTTATAAAAGTTTATTGAATATCTATCACATTTCATATGAATTAATAGTTTACCTTTTTATCACTGAATTTTTTTCATTTGTGAATATATTACAGTTTACTTATCTACTCATTAATTGAAGGAAATCTGGTTCTATTTTTTTCTTCCAGTGTTTGGTGATTATGCACAAAGTTATTGTGAACGTTCACATAGTTTTTTTGTATACACATAAGTTTTCAAGTCACTTATGTAAATATTTATACTTGGGATTAAAGGATTTTTATGGTAGTTGTATGGTTAACATCACAAGAAATGGCCCAGCTGTCTTCCAAACTGGCAGTACCATTTTGCATTCTCACAATCAGTAAATGAGGATTTTTGTTGATTTTCTTGTTGCTAGCTAGCATAGTTGTTTTTTACCTTTTCCATATATTTTATTTCTGTCTGTATCTTTTGTGTTCTTTTCATAGTTGTTAAAATACACTCTGAACTAATTTTCATACACTTTGCCTAACATCACTGAAAACATTTTATCTATGATTAGAATTTTTAATCATTTTACTTTGTGCATAGTCCCATCATTTGATATCATAATAGAAATAAATTTTATAATGCATATTATTATTTTTGTCCAAAAACTTTTTGTGTATGTGTGAGCAGGATCTTCTCTTACATAATATCTCAAAACAAGATGTACAATGGACTTTGGATTTTAGTGATAATGATAAACCTTTCAAAAATGGCACATTTGAGTTTAGTATACTGACTGGTCATCTGCAACCAGATGAAAAGTGTAATGTTACCATAACTTTCTGTCCAAGTAAGTACTTTTCTCCTATATTTTTGATACAATTTCAATTTATTATTCACATGTTAAGTATTTAATACAGTTGCAAAAAGTTTAGATTATCTACTGTATGTTCTTTGTTATTTGAATAACCAATACTAATGTAATTTTTATCTCATTTCTGTCTTTTAAGATACTTAATTGACAAACATTATATACATTCAAGGTATACAACAAAATGATTTGATATATATTGTAAAATTATTACCACAGATTGACACTGCCACCATTACCCATGCTGTATATTAAATCCCCCAAATCTGTTAATTTTATAATTGAAAGTTTAAACCCTTTGATCGTTATCTCCCCATTTTCTCTACCTGCAAGCCCCTGATGAGCATCATCTTCTCCTCTGCTTCTCTGAATATTACTTTCTAGATTCTGTATGACCAAAATCATAAAATATTTCACCTAAAACAATGTCCTCTAGATTCAAGCAAACCTGCAAATGTTGTAATTTCGTTCCTCTTTAGGGCAGAGTAATAGTTCATTGTGTATATATACCACATTTTCTTTATCTGTTCATCTATTGAAGCGCATCTAGGTTGCTTCCACAGTTTAGCTATTGTGAATTGAGCTGCTATAAGCATTGTGGCTGCATCACTGTAGTATGCTGATTTTCAGTCCTTTGTATGTAAACTGAGGAATGGGATAGCTAGGTCAAATGGTGGTTCCATTCCAAGTTTTCTGAGGAATCTCCATACTAAATCCTTCAATTATGCAGTTTAGTATATGAGGAGCTATAGATTTGCCATATTTGGTCTTTCTTTTGTTAAATACCTTCCTTTTTTGGAAGGGAGCAGTACTGGGGCTTGAACCTGGGGATGCTTTGCCTGAGCTGCATCCTGCCTTTTGAAACAGGGTCTTACTAAATTGCTTGGAGCCTTACTAAGTTCCTGAGGCTAGCCTTGAACTTGTGATCCTGCTGTCTCAACCTTCTGAGTCACTGGAATTACAGGTGTGTGTCACCATGCCCAGTGATACATCCCTTTAATACCTAATTTGTTTTTTTAAAATCAGTCAATGTTGAATTTTGTCAAATGTTGTTTCTGCAATCATTGAGATGATTCCACATTTTTTATCATTGTGTTAACATGATGTATCACATATTTTTATTTTTATATGTTGAAATATTGCTTGCATCACAAGGAAAAATCCTGCTCGGTAATAATGTATGATCCTTTTAATGTGCTGTTGCATTCAGTTTGCTAGTGTTTTGCTGAAGACTTTTGTATCTGTTTATCAGGCAGATTCACCTGTAGTTTTCTTTACTTGTTTACTTGTGGTTTCTTTGACTGACCTTGGAATCAGAGCAATGCTTGTCTCATAAAATGCATTTGAAAGTATTCCCTTGTCTTCAATTATTTTAGATGATCTTGAGAAGGATTTGTATGTTCTTTAAATATTTGGTAGAATTTAGCAGTGAATCTATTAGGTTCTGGGCTTTTCTTTAGTGAAAAATTTATTTATTGACTCAATCTCCTTATTTATTTTTGGTCTGTTCAGATTTTCTGTTTCTGCATGATTCAGTCTTGAAAGGCCTGGTTTCTAGGAATTGATTCATTTATTCTAGGTTTTTCAATTTATTGACAATAATTGTTCATAGTAAGATCTGATGACTCTTTGTACGTCCATAGTATTAATGTACTAGCTCCTCTTTCATTTCTGATTTACTTATTTGAATCTTCTCTTTTTTTATTAGTCTAGTTAAATTACATAGTCTAGATTAGTCTTTCAATTTTGTGCATCATATTAAAAAAAACCCAACTCTTAGATTCATTGATCTCTTGTATTGTTTTCCTTCTTTGTTTCATTTATTTTTGCTCTGAAACATTAGTTCTTTCCATTTTCTAATTTTGGGCTTAGATTTTTCTTCTTTATCTAGTTCCTTGAATTGTAACAGTAGATTGTTAACTTGAGATACTTATTCTTTCTTGGCATATTTATTGATATAAACTTCATTCTTAGAACTGATTTTGCTCTGTTACTTAAGTTTTCATATATTCTATTTCCATTCTAATTCATCTCAAGATTTCTTTTTACTTCCCCCCCCCCTTTTTTTTTCATCTTGGACCCATTGGTTGTTTTGAAGCATGTGATTTAATTTCTACATATTAGGACTTTTCAAAATTCTTCCTTTTGTTGACTTTTAGTTTTATACCATTTTAGTTGAAAAGAACATTTGAGATGATTTCAATCTATCTAAATTTGTTAAGACTTATTTTGTGGTCTAACATATTCTGAAGAATGTTCCATGTATACTTGAAAAGGACATGTATTTTTATTATTTGATGAAATATTCCACATAGGCTATTAGGTCCATTTAGTCTAAAGTTTAGTTCTAGCCCAGTATTTCCTTATTGATCTTCTGTCTGGATGATCATTGCATTCTGAAAATGAAATATTGAAGTCAAGTTTCTCCACACAATTATTACATTGCAATCTGCCTCTCTCTTCACATATATTACTATTTGCTTATATATTTAGGTGCTCTGATATTGGGTGTTTCTATATTTTTAGTTATTATATCTTATTGATGAATTCATCCCACTACTAATGTAGTGACTTTATCTTATTTTAGAGTTTTTGACTTGGTGTACAATTTGTCTGTTATGAGTATAGCCATCTCTGCTCTCTTTTGGTTCCATTTATGTGAAATTTTTGTTATTGTTGTTATTTTACTGTCATTCTCTGTGTATACTCTTAAAGGTGAAGTGAGTCTCTTATAGAAAATTTTAGATCCATTCAGCCATTGTCTTTTCATTAGAAAATGAAATCCATAATATTTCAATATAGCCTTGTCAAAATCCAGAATTCAGTAAATCTCGAAGCTTTGCCTGACTCTGAAATTTATTAACTTGATTTTTTCTCTCTTCAAAATAATTAAACAACATTAATTATGTTGAACATTTTTTTATCTCACAAAAATAGAAGGGTGATCAGTAGAGAAGTAGGGGAGAAGGAGGGAGGAAGAAAGGAAAAGAGGAAGAACTGGGTAATAAAATCGACCACATTATGCTATGTGCATGTGTGAATATACCACAGTGAATCCCATTATATGTATAATTATAATGTACTTATAAAAATATAGACATAAATAAATAGAAGGAAGTCCAAAAGATTAGAAGAAGGGGATCAAGGTGGCACAGGCATGGATGGAAGTGGAAGTATTGAGGAATGAATTAGAACAAATTAAATTATGTGCATATATGAATATGTAACAATGAACCCCACTAATATGTATAATTATAAAGCACCAATGGAAATATTTTTTAAAAAATTTGCAACATTAAATTCATTACAATAAATCAACTTTTCCCTACAGAGTTGTAATATTTAAATACATATAGTCCAATATAACTCATTTTATCTTCTGAAGATACAAATATAGCCTTTTACTTTTCTCAGTGTTTCTAATACTCATTTGTCACTATTAGTATGAAACCCATTATTTTCTTATTCATCTTCCCCTTGTATCTCCAGACATCACTGTTTTTCTGAGGATCATAGACTGATCAAATAATGGTCTTATTTGATTAAGTAAAGTCATCCAGTATACAGAGAAATAGTGGGTCTGATGATTTTAGTGACTTCATTGCTTCTGTTTCTGGCAAACAATTTCACTTTTGAACATGGTCCTGCATCATACATTATATTCTCATCCTTTGCTCTGGCAATACCCTTAATGGCCCCAATCCTGCAAGGCCACACTGGTGACCCAATTTTAGGTTGTAATAAGCTTGAATTCTCAATCACCAGATAAATTTTTTTTTCTCTCTATGAGACACTATCATCATAGGCAATTCAGGTGTGAAAGGACCTTGATCACTTTCTGTGAAAGAATCTATCCTCAGGAACTAACCTGCATTTTCCTATCTTGAGCCAGGTTCTCAAATGCAAACTGCCTCTCCTTCAATTAAATTGCCACAGGGGAGTTTCTTGTCTTTCCCTAATAGGTGAAATTCGCCAATCTACTATGGAGCATCTCCCTATCTTAAATCTCTGAGAGAAGGCACATTCTTTTGATCTCAGCACATCCTGTTCTCAGTAGTGCCTTAGGTTCCTATGGCAGTCTGACCTCATCTTCATCCTGCATATTGTAAAGGGATGGGTAGTTTTAGTAAAGTGAGAAAACAATTTTAAAAGGAAGTCCTGTTGCAGTACTTCCTCTAGGTATATTTATTTCCCCCCAAATAGAGAAAAGTTACTTTAAGGAGATTCCTCCATTTCTAGACAAGGTACACTTTAAAATATTTTTCTTTCAATAATATGTCATTAGGCATTAAATTCTTCAGGAAAAATCTAGTTTCTGGGCAATCTGGTTGGCTTCATTGAGCTATACATCATAGTATGTTTTAATGTTTAGTAAGTTTTAGCAATATTTAATTTTTTTTTTGCTTGTGACCAAATCTAATGCAATTTTAATTTTTTTTTTAAAATTAGGTGAGTGTATAAAATACACAGTTAATATTCCTATGTATTTAAATGACAATCCAGTTTGCTACAGAGTATTATGTCTGACTGGAGAGATACAATCACCAAAATTATTGTTTGATCCACCATTTATATTTTTTACTCCTGTTCCTTTGGATGTAACAACTGGGATGGATATCAACATTTTACCCCAGAACTATTTCAGGTAAATTCTTAATGTGAATTTATCAGATCTTTATGTGCTATTTTATTTGCATCTGTTATATAAGAGATACATGTAATGTTTCACTTGTTTTTATAGTTGAAAAGAAGTTTTAAAATATTTGTGTTTTCATATTTAAAAACACAAAATAATCCTTTATAGTTATCTATAACACTCATTATATTTTCTTGTAAAAATTTTTAATGTCTCTTTGTGGAATAACAAGCTTGAAGTTCCAGTAAATTAGTTTTATGTTCCTTTGTGACAAATTACTACAAACTTAGTGCCTTAAAAACAAATACCTGAAGGGCTGGGGTTATGGCTTAGTAGCAGAGAACTTACCTCACACATGTGAGGCACTGGGTTTGATCCTCAGCACCACATAAAAATAAATAAACAAAATAAATATATTTAAAAATCCAAACACCTGATATCTCACACAATATGGATTTATTATCTCCCACTATCTGTGAGTTTAGGAGTCCAGGTTGGCTTAGCTGACTCCTCTATTCAGTGTCTCAATCAGCAGAAATCAAGCTGTTGGCCAAAGCATCAGTCTCATCTAGTCTTGCTCTGAGCTATCAGGTTGTTGGCAGAATTAATTTCCTTGTACTTTTAAGACTAGTGTGCCCTTTTTTAACTGGAGACACTCAGCTCTCCAATTTCAACCTAAAGTTCTAGCCATGTGGCCATTACTCACAGCATACTAGCTAACTCATCCAAGGACAAAAGTCTGACATCTATCAGACTTCTCTGTTTCTGACCTGCAAACCTTTTAAGATTGTACCTGATTAAGTCAGCTTTACTAAAAGTCAATCATTAGGAACCTTAATTACACCTGGAAATTTCCTTTGCTATTGCCATATAATATTACCTAATCTCAGAAGTGATATCCTATTGTATTTAAAAGTCACATACCCATTCAAGGGGTACAATTTACACAAAATTTGTACACCAAGGTGAAGGCCTCTTGGGGATTATCTCAGATTTCTGCCTGTCACATTTAGACAGTGTGGTACAATTCAGTCTGTTGGATTTACAAAAAGGTCAAATTTCCAATATAGCTAACACCATAAGTTACAGTCAGCAGAAATAACCAGCATGAGGTTTAGATCCCTAAGCAATCTAGGTATTGGAATTATCTGAAATTCCAATATTCCAATTATTAATTGGTTTGAAAACTAATCCAACAAAGCTTTTAGAAATTTAATAAGTTTTCAGGAAAATATTTTAAGGGCATCTGCTAATACTAAGAGTGTACATAGCTAACAAAACAGTACAGAAACAAACTAATGAACAATACCTCAGTTAACTTTAAAAATGAAAGGGAGAAAAAAGAATAATAAAAACAGCAGGAGAAAATTAAACCAAAAATTGTAGAACATCTCTAAATAGAGAAACTGTAATAAAATGTAAATGAACTACTCTGAGTAAAGGATAATGTTCAAGTATATTAGAAAAATACCCAACTGCTTATTAAAAGAGGTATAGATGAAGCAGAGGGACAAAGAAAAAAAAATAAAGCCAGAATTTCTCACCCTCAGAACTATTGACATTTAAGGAGGATAATTCTTTTTTAATTTTAAGGAACCCTATCCTGTGCATTATAGAATGCTTAGCAACATGTCTAGTCTCTTCTCCATAGCATCTTTCCCACATTGTGGCAAAAAAAATCTCAACCCATTGCTTTGCGTCCCCAAGGGGAGTAAAACCACCCTTAGTTGAGAAATACTATAGGGAAATGAGGGAAAAATATAAGGTCATAACCAAAATAAATCTGGGAAGCAGTATTAATTTCACATGCAAAGAACTTTAATAAGCACATTTTTAATATAATCAAAGTCACTAATGAATTATAAAAGTTACAGTTCACATAGAAACAATCAGAATTCTAAAATTGTATGCATAATTAAAATAGTCTAAATAAACCCTGAGTTTAAATAATAGTGAAAGTTAAATAGACCTTAATCATTGTAGGATATTTCAAACCATATCTCAAATATTGATGGGTCTAGAAGCAAAATATTTGAACAAGACACTTAACAAGCTTCATTATTTTACCATGTATAAAGTACTAAACTTTACAACTAGATAGTATACATTTTTCTATGTCAAACATGGACTATTTATAAAAATTGACAGGGTATGATTCTATAGTTATAGGGTAAGCCTCAAAAATTGTAGACTTAACATTTTATAGGCTATGTTCTCTGATACTAAGTATAATAAATTAAAAGCAAATGAAGATAAAGATCCCCCATAAGTAAGGAAATGCTAAAACAAACTTCTATAGGGAGTCAATGAAGAAACCATATTGAATTATACAAATACATAACAATCAAAATGCTACATATCAGTAAAGTATATAATATAAATATTTGTCATTTCAATTTTTGGGATGATTTAAAAAACAAAGCAAAACATATTTAAGTCAAATTCCTTGCTGGTATTTTGAGCTAATTTTTTTTCTTTTTCATTTTAAACAGAAGTTCAACTCTAAATTTCCAGATTCCTTCAGTAAGGCTTCTTGATAATGATGAGATTCACCCTCTTTCTGTGATGTTTCGAAAAGGCAGAATCATCACAGGATCCAACAATGGAATTAATAATGAGCTGTTTTGCCACCTCAGTTTCAAATCATCTAAACCAGTGTCATTTTTCACCAACATTCTTTTCTATGATGATGGAGATAACTGGTAAGATATTTAAATGTAGATACTTTTATACTTAACAGTGAAGAATAATAGTTTTATATTCTATATCATTATAAAATGTTAGAAGGGGGGCAATTTAATATAATGGCTTTGAGCTTAAAGTGTTTTTTTTTTTTTTTTTTTTTTAAGTTCCACATAAACATTTGGTCTCATAAGAAACAGAAGAGTATTGGTTTACTGGCATTTACTCTGGAGTTAGGCTGCCTAGGGTCAAATTCTGGATTTGTTAACCTTACTTCTGGACTACTTAGTGTCCTCTTCTGTAAAATGGGATGGTGATATGGATAACTCTATTGTAAGTAGTAAAATAATGCACGAGGTACGGCAGATAAAGTAACCTCTTGTTTTGATGGTGTTTTTGGTGCTTCGGTTTGATGGATTCTCTTAAAACAGGCTCAGAGATGATGCTGAAGGGTAAGAGTAGAATCATATAGAAATGTTTACTATGGACATATTCTTTTGAGATTAGCACTATCATATGTCATATATAGACTTTCTAAAGAATAAATAAGATATTTCTTTTCTTTCCATCCTGCTCTTTTCTGTGTTTCTGTCTTTTTCTCCCCCACCCTGTACACAAAATTAAAATTCCATGTTTGACAAATAGTAATGATAGTTATTAAGGTCTACTCAATAAGGGCAGGAATATTATTCATTTATTTTTATTGATATATAAATTTACTAGTCAAAAACTCATAAATTGTCTCTATGGTAATAGCATAAATCAAAGGAATATTTATGCATTCATTAAAAAAATGTTACAACTTCTACCAGCAACTCTTTAGATGTCTTATTTAAAAATAAGTTTATTATGTATGGATACACATAAAATACCACAAAACTCAAATATTTTAAATTAATACTTTGTGAAGGACATCAAATAAATACAACACACTGAAATTCAGTAACAAAACAGCTGTTAAAGTGCTGTTAAAGTAAAATTTCAAATTGAAAACATGCATTTCTTGTAAAAATCAAATATTTCATTATTTTCTACAATACTCAAAGCATGTTTATTAAACAAAATACATATTATTTTATAAGTTTATGGATTTATGTAGAGTTTTGTGCCTATTTGTAAAATATCTTTAAGTGCTGGTAGAAATAGTTTTTGAGTGAGCCAAGACATAAATGCAGTGATAAAATATAATTCCTCTCATTGCTGCTATGAAAATCAAGCTCTATGCTAGGTCAACTTATTATTTTTTATTTTTATTTTTTTGTCCTCACAAATTAGCCTTTTTCATCTTGACTTTCCTTCTTTTTCCTTTTTTTTTTTTTTGTGGTGCTGGGAATTGAACCCAGGGCCATGTGTATGCAAGGCAAGCACTCTACCAACTGAGTTATATATTCCCAGCCCTTCTTTTTACTTTTATTAATTAGCAACTGGACATTCTGGATAAATATCGAGACATTTATTCACTTATTCATTCAACAAACATACACTGAATGTCTTTCATGTACCACACACTGTTCAAAGCACTGGAGACTATATCAGGGATCAGATGATCTCTGGTTATGGAGCTTAGAGTCTAGAGAGGGAAACAAATGATAGACAATGAACACATGAAAGCACAATACAATATAAATTTTCTAGTATGTGGTAATTAATAGAATCTATAGGAGAAA